AACAACTAAATCCTAGAAATGTCGGAGGCAGTAGCCTCAGTCTGAGAGCAACAAAGCAATCAACAAGACAACCATATGTCACATGAGAAGTGTGTCGCACACCAAAGGGTGGGATGGTCTCTGAGGGTGGCGAATGCAGCCTAGGGGTTGAAAACTCCTAAGGGCATCCACACATAGTGATAGGGGAAAACGCATGTCATCAGGCTCAATGAGGGTAGGGAATTGGGAGCGAACAGAACCAATGACCCTAACAAATAGACCATCAGGGCGGGTAATGCTCGACTAAGGGGTGACTGCTATGGAGGGTCGACCATGCAAGGGAACAAGGGAGCCTGGTATACTGGGCGCACCTAGATGAAGCATGCGGGGCTGCCTAACTAGGGCGTGAGGGCCGGYGAAGGGTAGAAAGATGATGGGTAAGGGAATCATGCAAATGACTCCTAAAGTGAGGGAGGTCGAAGCTAGATCCGTAAGATGGGAAGCCAGGGCAACGCTACGGTCCCGATGCCTATGCGTATACCAAGGGAGAGCCCAACTCAGAGGAACCTGGCTAAAGGGTGACCATCATGCGACACAAGCAGGGTACTATACAGGGGAGAGTGGTAAGAGAGTGGCGACGTCTGAAGTAGGCAGAGCTGATCGTGATGAAGTCCATGAAGCTGCCGATGACGTCCACGATGAGAAGTCCGGAATGCCGTTGAGGAAGAGCCACAGCGTCGATGAGCTGAAGTAGAAAAACTGATGTGGATGGAGTACTGAGAAGTCAAAGACGTGGGAAGGTAAGGCAGAGTCAATCGTCGTATCGAGCAGGACGACGACGAGTGCGCTGTGGACGCTCAGAAGCATCCGACTGCCGCTGAAGGTCTGCCTCAGATGGAGCAGGCTCAACTTCAGCGGTCTCCTCAGCCGGAGGAGAAGGAGGAGGGTCATATACTCGACGTGGGGAGGGTTGTCGTTGGTGACTCGACGACCAATGATGTCTGAAACGAGGAACTCCTCGTGGCCGTCCACCATGATGGGTGGAGGGCGCTCGTATGGTCGTCCAGCGAAACGCTCAGACGGTCTGCGGTAAGGACGCAGTAACGAGACGTGGTAGACATCATGCACACGAGCCTGGCGTAGGCAGTTGGGCAGCTTCACACGAAAGCTGACCGGGTTAGATGCCGTATCAGGACCGACGGCCTGGAGGATGCGGCATGGGCCAAAGAAGCGACGCAGAAACTTGCGAAGAGTGTCCGCTTCGAGCTGTAAGTGGCGGGCGTCGATAAGCACATCATCACCGACCTTGAATGGGTGATCCATCCTCGATCGGTTCGCACGTGCTGCCATGCGAGTCTGGGAAGCGGCTATGTGCTCATGTGCGGCCTTCATAATCGACGTCATGTGTGCAACCCAATCATCCAGCGCGGGACAACTCGTGTCGGGGTAAATCTGGGACGGTCGAAGGAAGTCCGCGGGAACACGCGGGTGATAGCCGAGGTCGCAATAGTAAGGCGACATCCCCGTGGCTGGCGAGACGGAGTGGTTGTAGGCTATCTCCGCGTGGGCAAGATGGAGATCCCACTGCTGGTCGTCACGAACAATCTTTCGGAGAATATCCCCAAGAGTCTTGTTCGTGATCTCGGTCTGACCATCAGTCTGAGGATGGGAAGACGAGGAGAAGCGGAGCTGAGTGCCGTACACCTCGCAGAGCCGTCGCCAGAATCGGCTGGTAAAGCGCGGGTCACGGTCAGATATGATGCTCAGAGGTAAGCCGTGGTCACGCACGACTCGGTCAAATACGATGTCGGCGACCTCACGTGCACTGATGGCATAGCGGCACGGAACAAAGCGTGCACGCTTCGTGAAGCGGTCGACGACGACCAGGAWAGCATCATGACCGCGGGGGGACGGAGGTCGAAGAGGACCGATAAAGTCCATCGAGATGGACTGCCAACGACCCTCAGGGATAGGAAGAGGCTGGAGCAAACCATAAGGTAGGTGGTTCGCACTGTTCACCTCCTGACAGGTGGGACACTCTGCGACGTAGTCCTTCACAAAGTCCTTGCGCTTCGGCCAGACGTACAGGCGGCTCACACGAGCCAACGTCTTGTGGAAGCCCATATGACCGGCAGCTGCCTGGTCATGGAACTCTGCTAMTGCKCGGACACGTAGYTGTCCAGTGGAGGGAACACAAATACGGGGCTCTCTGGTGCCCTGCGAACCGTGCCTGTACACAAGACCGTTGTCCCCGAGAGAGTAGTTCGGGACGGTCTTGCCACTCCGAAGGGTCGCGTGGATGTCGCGATAGTCGGGGCAGTGGCGGTACTGAGTGCGAAACTCGTCGATCACCGAGTGGTGGACGGTGCTGACCGAGATGGAAGAGAGCTGGATGTGCTCCTGGTCGTGGTCAGGGCGTCGGGATAGGGCGTCTGCGACCCGATTAGTCTCACCCTTGATGTTCTCAGTGGTGAAACTAAACTCGGATAGGTCGCGCCACCAGCGAGCTTGTCGAGGAGTGAGCTTTGGCTTTGTCAGAAAAGCCTAGACAACAGAGTTGTCCGTGCGCACCGTGAATGGTGCCCCGTGCAGGTAGTGACGCCAGTGTCGAGCGGCATAAACTACTGCGAGAACCTCACGTTCATCAGCAGTGTAGTTTATCTCGGYGGGCAGGAGCTGACGGGAGTAGAAGGCTATCGGACAATCACCTGAGCGAGACTCGACAGTGCCGTCCTCGGCGATGGTAGGAGAATAGTCAAKAGAAGGCTCGTCAGTAGCTGGACGAGTAGGCGTCAGTCGGGAAGCAGTGGTAGGGGAAGGTGGTGGGAAGCGAGGGATACGAGGATGAGAGGAATCAGGAGATGAGGGGAAGACCTGAGAAAGCACTGCTCCTACAGCGAAGTCTGACGCATCGGTGGTAAGGATAAAAGGGCGGTCAAAATCGGGTAGGTGAAGAACCRGTGCGCATGTCACCGCCTTCTTGACGGCGCGGAAGGCGTCCTCGTGGAGGGGTGTCCAAGCCCAGGGTGGGTTCTTCCGGAGGAGGGTGGAGGTAAGGACGTAGGAATACCTAACGTATCGTCGGATGAAGTTACTATAGTAGCTGGTCAGGCCTAGGAAGCTGCGAAGCTGCTTGGCGGATGTGGGAGCGGGTCACTCCGCAATAGCATTGATCTTCGCATCGTCCATGTTGAGACCCTGGTCAGACACGTAGTGTCCTAAGAAATCCACTTTGTGCTGGGCAAAGCGGCACTTGCTTAGCTTGGCGTAGAAGCCATGTCTGCGCAAGCG